AGGCGGTAGTAGGGGACGGACTCGTCAAAAGTGACGTCCTGGGAGGGCAAGACTCGGCGCGAGGTGGCGTGGTAAAACTGCCAACCAGACGCGTCCGGGACAAAGCCGAGGAAGACGCAGGGAACAGCACGGGAGGAGAGCTTGTCCGCAGACGAATCGCGGACAAAAGCTCGAGACCCCCAGACCCGGAAACGCGACGCATCGCCAACCTCCCCCGTCCACAGTAGCGTGGGCGAGGTCTCCGGCAAGGAGACACGGGGCCAGAGGTTGAGCTGATGCGCAGCGTACCGGACCGCAAACGGCCACAGAAAGTGGGGGGCAGCCGCATGGATCAAGGAGGTACGGGCGACCTCCATGACCAGGCCAATGCGGCGCTCCGCAACCCCATTCTGCTGTGGAGAAGCCGGAAGCGTGAACGACTGCTCAATGCCGTGCTCAGCACAGTAGGCTGCCAAGAGGTCGGAGGAGAACTCACCACCTCTGTCAGAGTGCAAGCGCAGGACAGGAAAGTCCGAGTGAAAACGCTCGCTGAGCTGGAGACGGGCTCTGCGGATCCAAGGGATCAAGACATCAGGGACCTCACCCTTGGTGCGCAAGGGGAAGACCGAGGTGTAGCGCGAGTAGTCGTCAACAACTATCAGGAAGTACCTCTCCTGACCCTGACCACGGACGCGGGCTGGGCCCCACACGTCCATGTGGAGTGTCTGCAAGGGAGCAGTCGTCGGGGGGAACGAGGAGGAGTGAGGAGCGGCGCGCTGCCGTCCCTCGACACAGGGGAGACAGGTAGGAGCAGGCGAGGGTGGGAGAGGAGGAAGGACCCTGGGCAGGCCAGAGACAAGGTACCTGGAGTGCATGGCACGAAGCCGCTGCACAGACGGGTGGCCAAGGCGGTGGTGCCAGAGGACAGTCTCGTGTGCCAAAGAGCGACACGAGCAGGGGGCAGACAGCTGACCTGACGCGGACGCGGACGCAGTCGCAGCAACCTGAGGGGACTCAGTAGTCAGTGTGTACAGGTCCGACCCCGGCTGCCGAGTGAAGGTAGCCAAGTGACGGCCCGTACGAGCACACGTGCAGTGTGTCACGCGCTCGTAGGCAGGGGTGAACTGGTGAACACCCCCGTCCTGGAGTGCACAGCCTGCCACCAAGTTCGTAGAGAACGAGGGGAGGTGGAGACCTGACAGTGTGCCCGACGGGACCGCAGGGCAGGGAAGGACAGTGGAAGAGGTCGCAATGACCGGACCCCCAGAGGGGTCAGCAAGGGAGACAGCAACTGGTCGAGCAAGCGGCTCAAGGGCAGTGCGGTCACGAAAGAAGCAGCGAGAAGCACCTGAGTCCAGTGTGAAGGTGTGCAGTGCGGCAGTCGACGCAGTACCAGGGGGGGGAGACACACGAGCACCTAGAGCAGCAGCCTCACCAGCACCTGGGGTAGCCGACACGTGAGTACCTGGAGCGGCAGACGCACTGGCCCTAATGCCCGGGTCGGGCGGCACACACAAGTACTCAGCACCCTCTCCACTAGTAGACATCACATACATGGCAGATAGAATAGCATCAAAGTCTAGAGCATAGATATCAATCCCCTTCTTCAGGAGATCAAGCCAGCGGGGCAGCTCAGTGGCCTGAGGGAACTGAACACGCCAAGCGTCGTCGAGACGAGAGAAGCAGCGCTGTGTGGCGTGCGGTCGTCCACACTGCTGACCAGTGCGGTCACCAGTGCGAATGACGTACGTGCAGCTAAGACCACCCCCACCCCCGTGCTGAGAGTACCACTCACGGACCTCCTGGGGCGAGAGAGTGTGCTGCTGGCCCTGGCCACCGCCAGCGCCTCCACGGCCACCACCACCGCTGCCACCTCCTCGACCACCCCAACCCCTGCCGCCGCCTCGTCCACCGCCACCCCAACCGCCGCCTCCACTCCTGCCACCTCCCCCGCCGCTGCCGCCACCACCCCCACCGCTACCACTCGCCCCTCCAGCCGAGCCACCACCCCCACTGCCTCCACCGCCCCCACCGCCGCCTCCCCCGCCGTCACCGCCACTACCCTTGCCCCCTTTGCCCTTGCCGCTGCGGCGTCCGCTCGAGGCAGACGCAGTGCCGACCTTCTCAGTACCAAGAAGGTCGACAGCAGCAGCAGAGGCGACAGAGGGAAGAAGGGGGGAAGGAGAACACCCCTCAAAGAACGGGGTACGAGGGTCGCCACGAGAGGCACCTACAGCGACTATGCTAGCCTCAGCTGCAAGTAGCTCCTTCTCGAGGAGGGCAATGGTGAGCTCAGTGGGGCAACGAGCTAGGAAGTGGTCCCTGACAGCACGCAGTGTGTCAGGGAGGCGGGTGACTAGGTGATAGAGAGTGAGCCAGAGTGGAGGGGGGTGCGTGGCAAGGAACTCAGTAGGCATGGCGGCACGGAAGCGGGCCTCACTAGTACGGAGGTGCGTGATGAGGTCAGCGACTGTGTGAAAGGAGGCCAGGTCGGGAAACAGGTAGGGGAGGGAGAGACGGCCTAGTGCGGCAGAGGCAGGTGAGGAGTAGCGAGCAACTACAGCTGTGTACAGTGCCGGTGCAGTCTTGTGCTGACCAAAGTGCTCGCGTTCGTCTATCGGCAGGGAGTTGCGAATGGCGAAGCGAGCGTGGGCATCACGAGTCTGCCACTGTGAGCGAGCAGTGCTGTCAGCAGTAGCAGCAGGGGCAGTGACAAGGCCTAGGGCGTGATCGTACAGTGAGATGTCATCCTTGGCTGTGAGCTGTAGGTAGAGGTGCAGGTCATCGAGCCAGGTGTCAAACTTCACAGGGCGGCCCTCAGCATCGAACACGAGAACCTGTGGGCTAGCCATAGGAACAGTAGAAATAGCAGCAGTAGCGGTAGGAGAAGCAGGTAGGACGAACCAGGTAGGGCAGGGCGGCGCGGCTCGGTTCAGGTCGGGTCGCGGCTCGTCTCGGGGCGCGCGGCTCGGCTCAGGTCACGGCGGGGACGGGCCGCCCGCTTTCCCTCTTGTGCTGCGGCGGGAACGGGCCGCCCGGGGCCTCTGGGTGGTGGGCACGGGTCGGCGAGGTAGGCACGGGGCCGGTTGGGGCCCTAGAGGGGCGAGCGCGGGGCCGATCGGGGCCTGAGCGGGGCTAGCGCGGGGCCAAACGGGGCCTTGACGGGGCTAGCAAGGGGCCGACGGGGCCTGAAACGGGGCCGAAGGGGCCTGAAACGGGGCTAGCGCGGGCCCGATCGGGGCCTGAATGGGGCTAGCGCGGGGCCGTCAAGAGGGGCCTCTAGGGGCGTGACACGCCGAGGCGCCCTAGGGCACGGGTAGGTAGGTAGGTAGGTAGTTACGTAGTGGTGGGCCCTTAGAAAATTTCGGTCCTAGGAAGGACCTGCTCTGATACCATGTTGGAATCACTGAACAGGAATGAATGAACTGGCAATGAAAAGAGTACAAGTACCTAACCCTAGAATTGTGTACCCCCTATAGGCTAACCCACTGTAGCCTAAACTAACACAACATATATAATGTTTGACAGGGCAGCAGCATCGCGTGTGGCCCACTGTGAGCGAACAGTATTGTCAGCATCGGCAGCAGGGGCAGCAGAGGCGTCAGACGTGAGATCGAACAGTGAGAGACCATCTTTTCTATCGCACTGCAGGAAAAGCTGCAGATCATCGACTCAGACCTCAAAGTCGACAGCCCGACCCTCAGCATCAAAGGTGAGCACACTTGGGGTAGCCATGATAGCAGCAGCAGCAGGCTAGCAGTGGCAGCAGCAGGTTAGGAGCAGCTCAGCAGGAGAGGCGCAACTCGGCGGTGCTCTTACCAGGGGCGGGTGGGTAGAGGTCCGCAAGCGGTGGGGCAGGGCCGAGGCGCGCCGGCAGGGACAGGGCCGCGACAGGGCGGCAGAGGAGTGCCGCGCCTCGGCTGCAGGGCAGGGCCGGGACGGCGGCGGCGGCGGCTGTCACGGCAGCGGCAGCGGCGGTTGTCTCAGCAGGAGCGGCGGCGGCTGTCACGGCAGCAGCGGCGGCGGCGACCGGTCGTAGAAGAAGCAGCAGCGGCAGCAGGCGCGACGGCAGCTGCTGCTGGGGCGGCGACGGCGGGGCGGCAGGGCCGTGAAGAGCCGGGGAGGGGCCGCTAAGGGGCCGCGACGAGCCGCGAAGGAGCCGCGGAGGGGCCGTGAAGGAGCCGCGAAGGGCCGCGAAGGGCCGCGGAGGGGCCGCGAAGGGGCTGCTAAGGGCGGCGAAGGGGCCTAGAAGGGGCCGTGAAGGGGCCGCGAAGGGCGGCGACGGGGCCGAGAAGGGCGGCGAAGGGGCCGCGAGGGGCCGCGAAGGGGCCGCGAGGGGCCGCGAAGGGCGGCGAAGGGGCCGCGAGGGGCCGCGAGGGGCCGCGAAGGGCCGTGAGAGGGGCCACGAAGGGCCGCGGAGGGGCCGCGAGGGAGCCGCGAAGGGGCCGCGAAGGGCTGTGAGAGGGGCCGCGAAGGGGCCTTAAGGTGGGCGCGACGTTCTGCTAAGGGCAGGGGACGCGACGGGAGGGCAGGCGCACGGGGCGCGACTAGGGCAGGCGCGAAGCGCGCTACGGGCAGGTAAAAAAAAAAAAAAACAATCGTTTTAGTGGTGGGCCCAAGGAAACGTTCCCACTAGGGAACCTGCTCTATACCATGTGAAATAATGAGGAATGAATGAACTAGGAAAGTGTGTGATAGAAATATGAAAACCTAGAAACCTGTACCCCTTAGTGTCTACCCCACTAGAGCCTACAAACACTATGTCATATGTATCTGACAAGTGCAACCAGCGGAAACTACTGAAGAGATGGGGAAGGTGACCGTAGACCCGAAGGATGAGTTAGAGTGCTGTTGAAGTCTCTGAAGCGAGAGGTGGACGAAATGAGGCGCGCGATGGCGAAGGGGGCGCTGGAGGTGATAGGAGTGGCGGGAACCACGGCGCTGGCAGTGCCGCGGCACGAGAGGCAGGAGAGGACGCGGACGGCCTTCCAGCGCAGCCGCCGCCGAAGGGCGAGGCGCTTATGGCCCTGGTGGAGGCCATGATCACAGCGCGGGTGAAGGACGTGCGGGACGAGCTCGAGTCGCAAGTGAAGGGATTGAAGGAGCAGGTGGAGGCGGCGAGAGGCAAGGCGAGAGACGCGGCAAGCGAGGTGAGGGCGGTGATCAAGCGGCAGGAGGCGGAGATAGCGGACGTGAAGGGGACTTCAGCGCACATTGAGGCGCAAATGAACGACGTGGATCTGGCGGTGGCGGGGTGGAAGAGCACGCGGGAGCAGTGCGACGAGCGCAGCTACGGCAGCTCGGGGGAGCATGCAGAGGCGGAGGGCCGCGAGGGGAAAAAGAGGAAGAGGGAGGAGGCTGGGAGGGGGGACGAAATGGCATGTTCTGGTGATTCTGCAGACGCTGCTGCTCGCGGAGGTGCAGCACCGGTCAACTCGACTGCTTCGAATGAAAAGCGGGATGCAGCGGACAATACGAAATGGGAGGATAAATGGCATGAGCTGAAGGGTAGGGTGGACGAGGTAGGGCGCCAAGTGGCGACGCTGGAGAAGACGAGTGACGAGGGGAAGGGGTGTGGGAGGTGAGTGCTTCGATAAATCCGATTCCCCTATTACTGGTGATATTTCTCTAGCTAACACTTGTTGTTATCGTCATTACTGGCTAGTGGTGCGTACACACCAGAACCGTAATGCCCTCACTTGTGACGTACCAGCTTTTTTCTGCCTCTCCCCATAATGCTCGTGTCTGTCATTCCCGTGTCTGCCCTGGCTGCAGGCGATGCTCGCTCTGTCACCAGCAGCAGCACAGGGCAGAAGCAAATGAACGTGAGCGGCATCTCCTGCCTCACAGACGCTGCTCTCACCCACCTTGCCTCGTTGCGCTAGCTCACATCCGTCAACCTCAGAAGATCCTCCGGCTTCACTGCAGCCGGGATGAAGCAGCTGTCAGAATCCCAGCCATTAACCACTGGGATAAAAGGGCTTATTGTAGCGGGTGAGTCCGCCCATAACCCCCCAAGCCAACGTGCCTGTAACCCTCCCCTAGGATCAATCGGGGATCACCGGTGGACCTCTGACACCCCCTCGCACCGGGATGCCCGAAATGCACACACTGGGATTCGAACCCGAGACCTTAGCTCTAATACCATGTCAGAATCACAACTACTAACCACTGGGTAAAAAGGGCTTGTTTGTGTAGTGGGTGAGTGCGCCCATAACCTTCCAGGTCAACGTGCCTGTAACCTTTCCCTATGATCAATCGGGGATCACCGGTGGACCTCTGACAGCAGCTGTACCCTCTCACAGGCCTGGTGAGTCCGGAACTTGGTACCCCTAGCACAACAATTGCCGCTCTGGAAGGTATTGCATGCCTCAAGAACCTGAGGACACTTGAGGTTAGCAATACCGATATCACAGACGCTGGAGAGGCGAGACTGCAAGAGCTTTCTGGCCTCACGGCACTGAGCATGCGCTGTTGTGTGTCCGTCACATTTGCCAGCATGGTGCATGTGGGCAGAATGACAGCATTGCAGTGGATCATACTGAATGGTAGTGGAGTGAGGGAAGGTGGGTTGTAGCATCTGACTGCCCTCACTTCTCTCAAGTATTTGAAGCTGCCCCCATGAGTGACTGACTCGGGCATAAAGCATCTGAGGAATATGAAACTCCTCGAGAAGTTGTTATTGCGGGGTCCTAACATCATTGCGTCAGGAATGAAGTGGCTCAAGGGTCTTACATGCCTCCAAAGGTTGCAACCAATTCGTACGAAATCGAAGAATTGATTAGGGAAATTCTCCCTGGGGTGTTTGTGGGTTCAGTTCTTTGAGAGAATTGCAGTTGGAATTAGAAGTCTATATTATTGTGCAGAGACTGCTCCCGGTACCATATTGTGTTTATCAACATTGTATGCCTCTGAATGGGTCCGTCTAGGAATTACCCGTAATCCATGGAAATGTGGGTTGCATTTTGTAAACAGTGAAAAAACTTCAAACACCATTTTTACAGCACCGTACTTTGATTTCACTCGTGTGACACTTGGATTTCCTGTGGTGGTAGATTGACGTGATGTAGCAAACTAACAAATAGTTGTTGGGCCTGCTTCTCAGCCATCAGCATTACGCTAAAACGAAGATAACAGAAAGTTACACCCCTATCCCAATTGTCGAGAATGCTCTTATTTATCTTCCGAGCACCTACGAGACCCTGCCACGTTGCTGGCACCTGCCTACTCAGCAGTTACGGCAGTCAAGATGTGCCGTACCAGTGGTGTGTTGCATGAGGTCTTCGCATGAAGTGATACTGTACGTTGTACCGAATTCTCCCATTTTCGCTTTCGCGCGATCTTCACGAAGACTTCAAGTGTGTGTTCGGTGGACTATCATTGGTCCGACATAGATTCTCCGAGCCTTCCTTTTCAACTTCGGCAGTCTCCATCGAGCACGCGGCACCACCACCACGTTTCGCCAGACGTGCGACACGTTACTTGCGACAGTTTGGATGAAATTCTTCGCACAAAAACCACAGATGGGGAGAGAGTCCTTCCCACAGTCCTACCCCACACATCTACTAAGGACCGGTGCAAGTGCAAATATCGCAGGATCGTCTGCAAATATCGAGCCACAATCGATGGGCAGTTCGATTGGCGAAACGTGGCGACCGCGACGTTGTAACGATCGCCCCTTTAGATTTGACAGACCTCCCGCAATCAGTGATCACTCGCATTCGCACACTGTAGTATGATTGCAGCATAGTAAAAAGGGTAACCGATCCCCACATCGATCGCCACTGACGATCGATCGTCTACTTTAACCGCGTCCTAACGGGTGTTTTGTTGCTCTGGGAATGTGAATGTGATGTGATGTCAACCTAGCATAAAGCTCCTTGATGCCTTGATTTCTGAGAGACCTGCCTCATTTTTTCTGCTGCTTCTCTAGCCTTCAGGACCCTTTGTGGAACAAGTTACCTCGAGTAGCTTTCGCGCCACCATGCATCTCCTCGCCGACCGCCGATGGAGCTATATCGTGAGTCGCGCCGTGGATGGAAGGGTGATGGCTCAGGTGGACGGCCAGGTTGTCCCTCAGGATCTGGAAGCCGGTAACAAGAAGCAGCACTGGCGAACCATTCGCTGCGGCGACGGTTACCACCTCATCCAGAATCGCGCGACGAAGAACGTTCTGGACCACTGGGGCGGGGAGAAAATCGCGGCAGAAAATCGCAACTGGACGGACCATCACCACCAGTGGCAGATCATCAACGTGGACGACGGATTCGTGGCCTTCAAGAACCGCGCATCGGGAAACGTTCTTGACTTCTGGTATGAAAGTAGCTACATGGCTACTAATGACGACCTGCATCACCACCACCACAACTGGCGGATTATCCGCGCGGATCAGGTGGCGGGTGCTGAACATTCGGCGACGTCATCGGATGAGGAGGAGGAGTCTCCGGGAGTCAAGGTGAAGAAGATCAAGTGCAACGAGAATGACCTGCTGTGATTGGAACCCATGGCGGTGCTGTACGACGGTGGACCGCCCTTAGAGAAAGTGACGAGGGATGCTCATTGCTTGTACGAGGGTAGAACGATCAGTGAGGACCTGGAGATGAGGAATACGGGCCGAGTTGGCTGCGTTGATGGTAAAGGCAGAAATCGGGGTGACTGGTACATGTTTATTTGTTTGCATGTTTCATAATTCGAGCATGCTGGAATATAGCAGTCACTTGGTGTACTTTCACGGCGTTATGAGGCGTTCCATTCAAATTCAAACCCGTTTGGGGACCAAAACATTCTGGTATTCTTTATACAGCAGGTTCCGCATATTTCCCCGTTTCTTTGTGATTTTCCTCTCGCCATATTCTCCCATTCCGCAGTACCTTTGTAAAAGGCACGCAAATTGTACATCCAAGCCTTTCTCCTCCAGTTCGGGGATCATGATACGTTCCTAGTGCCGTTTTCTGACAGCCGGGTCAAGGCGTGCACAACACGAGTGCTCTATTTCACTTGTGTTGTGCCATCTGTTGTGTTGCGACTACTGGCTCTCTTGCGCTCGCTCGCATGTTTCTGTTATAGTTCGTCGTTGGTCTTCGCGATATTCGTGGAAACTGGCATGTCTGTTGGTGCATGGGTAATCCCGTACGCTGAACACCCTCGTGGACATCGATACTGGCAAGGACGCGTCACGTCACAGGCTCCCACAACCCTCCGCACTCCGAACGTGTTAGCTCGCCAGTCAGTGGTTAAGGCTCCTTTGTTCCTCTCAGGGGTCACGTATGAGACGGACATTCTCTTTCCTGCTGCTCCTCTCGTTGCCAGCAACGCTCTTGACACCAAATTTCTAAGAGTAGTAAACGTCTGAAAGAAATTCGCGATTGACGGACCTGCCACCATGCATCTCCTCGCTGACTGTACGTGGAGTTACATCGTGAGTCGTCCCGTGAAGGAAAAGGTGGTCGCACAGGTGGAGGGCAGGTTGTCCCTGCGAATCTGGAACCCGGTAACGAACAGCAGCACTGGCGAACGATACGTTGCGGGAATGGTTACCACGTGATACAGAATCGCGCGACAAAGAACGTTCTGGACCACTGGAGCTCGCAACGCATGGCGGCGGATAATCGCAATTGGGAGGACCCGCACCATCAATGGCAGATCGTGCAAACGGAGGGGGAGTTTGTCGTTCTTAAGAACCGCGCATCGGGGGCGGAGCTGGATTTCTACTACGGAAATAGCATCCAATCAACAAATAGAGACTCTCATCACCACTACCACCAGTGGCGGATTATCCGCACGGATCAGGTGGCGGGTGCAAATCCGTCGTCGACGTCGTCGGAAGGGGAGGAGGAAGAAGAGGAGTCTCCAGGAGTGAAACTGCAGAAGATTAAGTGCGACGAGCGCCACCTGCTGTGACCGCAAGTGGGGGTAGCAGAGAATTCTAGTACCGTTGCGAATAGCGACCAATGGCTGCAATCGCAAATGCGAGCTAAATGTTGAGGGATGGGGGTTCTAGCGCATTCCCTCCATTGTTGTGTTGTGTCACACTCCAGTTTGGACAAAAACAAGGACTGAATGTTATTGCAAGCATAACTTCCAACAAAAGCCTCTTCATTGTTTTTGTTTTCATGATTAAGTTGCTCTAAGAAGCCGTTCACGCCTGCATTTCACTCTCACCTTTATTGCCCAATGCAGCAGCTTTCCCCAACCTACCTATACACTAACACCACTACCTAACACCACACGAGCAATAACCTAGGATAATGAACCCACCCACCACACTCTGCTCTGCATGCTGCTGAACCAAGGATGAGCACCAGCACCCATGTGCGCACTGTGGGTTGCAACTTGCACCCTCCTATTGTGAGTCTCACTTCCACCACTGAAATAGCGAGAAGAACCCAGAAATTTGCTGAGAGGGCTGAAACATGCTATGCTTCACCTTTCAGTCACATTTCCATGCTCCAGCAGCTGACAGGTGGTCAGCTCAGCAGCAACACCCTCGCTCGCTGCGACCCACACCCACCCAGATTTACACGTACATACAACTGACTACCCATTGCCCAATCATCCCCACAGCACTACTTGCGACCCCACTTGCTGCTCTTCACCCCACCTGATCTCACCCTAGTCACTCCATGCACACCGGCCCCCTCCTGCTGCTGCCTCCCGCCCCACCCCTCCACACCCATCTCCACCCTCTGCAACCCCCCTCCCCATTCCTCCTCGCCCTTCCTCCCACCTTCAACCTCCGCTTCCACCTCCCCTTCCCCTTCCCGCCCCCCTCTCCCCTCCTTTCCTCGCCCCTCGGCTTCCCTCTCCTCACCCAGACGTCCCTTTACCCTGTTCACAACCACTGTCCGCCTCCCTCGCGCCCAAACCACCATCTCCCTCCCACCTCCCACCACTACCCCACTCTCCCCCACACCTACTCTCCTCCCACCACCTCCCCCACTTCTACCTACACCACCACCACCTACTTTCCCCCATGCTACACTCCCATCCTCTCCGCTAACCTTCCCAATACCATCCCCACCACCAGACATCCCTCTGGACCCCCTCCCACCGCTCCCTCCTCCGCGCCTGTCCTTCCTCCCCCTGCCTCGTCCCCTGCCCGAGCCCCCCCTCCCCATGCCTCTATCCATGCGCCCTGTCGGCTCCTCACTGGGGCTGAACCAATCATCACTGCCCGCATCCGCATCCTCTTCCTCTTCCTCCTCTTCCTCTTCTTCTTCCTCCTTTTCCTCTTTCTCGTCCTTGTCCTCACCCCTCCCTCCATCGCTGTCGTTTGCGCCATCGCCATACGCACGCAACGGCAAATGCCTGTCGTCTACCCTGCTCCCAGCCCCCTGAACCCCCTCACTCTCCTCCTCTTCCTCCTCCACCTCCTCCTCCACCTCCTCCTCGCTCTCCTCCTCAGTTTCTCGAGAGTAGAAACTTGACCTCACAGCAGCACCAGCAGCACCAGCAGAAGCACCAGAACCCAGAACAGCCACACTACCAACCACCTTCTCCCCCATACCCTCCACACTCACACTCCCTTCCACCGTCACCCCTCCCTCTATCTCCAACTTAACATCCACCCCCACTCTCATCCTCCTCTCCTCCACGCCTCTCAACCCCCCACTCCTCCAACCATCCACCTCTCCATCCCTGCTGCTACTGCCTCCCTCCTCTCCGCCCCTACCCTCCCCTCCGCCCACCAGCCCTCCCTCCTCAGCACCTCTGCTGCCGCTGCTGCAACCGTTCCGAACCGTCCTCCTCCTCTTCCTGCGAGGCACTTCAAGTCGAAATAGAGTCCCCGGTGATCCACCCTCCCTTACCCCAACGTGTAACTCATGCCTGCTCCTGCTTCTGCTCCTCTTCCCCACTGCACCTGCCCCTACCATTCCTCCCTCTAAATCTCCCCTTCCTTCCTCTCCTCCTTCCCTTCCTCCCTCTCCCCCTTCCCTTCCTCCCTCGCCCCCTTCCTTTCCTCCCTCGCCCATTGCATCCTCTGCTTTTCCCCCATCTCCTTTTCCTACCTCTCCTCGTCCTTTCCACACCCCTCCTCTTTCCCCTTCTCTTTTTCCTCCCTCTCTTGTTTCCCCCTCCCTTCTTGCTCCCTCTCCTCTCTCCCCCTCTCTTCTTCCTCCCTCTCTCCTTCCTCCATCTCCTCTTTCCCCATCTCTCCTTCCTCCCTCTCCTCTCTCCCCCTCTCTCCTTCCTCCCTCTCCTCTCTCCCCCTCTCTCCTTGCTCCCTCTCCTCTCTCCCCCTCTCTCCTTCCTCCCTCTCCCTTTCTCCCCACTTTCGTTCCTACCACTCCTCTTTCCCCCTCTCTTCTTCCTCCCTCTCCTCTTTCCCCCTCCCTCCTTCCTACCTCTCCTCTTTCCTCCCCCCTCCTTCCTCCCTCTCTTCTTTCGCCCTCCCTCCTTCCTTCTTCTCCTCTTTCCCCCTCTCTTCTACCTCCCTCTCCTCTTTCCCCCTCCCTCCTTCCTCCCTCTCCTCTTTCCCCCTCTCTTCTACCTCCCTCTCCTCTTTCCCCCTCTCTTCTACCCCCCGCTGCTCTTTCCCCCTCTCTTTTACCTCCCTCTTTTCTTTCCCCCTCCCTCCTTCCTCTCTCTCCTCGTTCCCCCTCTCTCCTAACTCCCTCTCCTCTTTCCACCTCTCCTCTTCCACCTCTTCTCGCTTCCCCTCCCTCTCCCACGCCTCCTCCCCTACCTGTGCTTGCCACATCTCGTTCCATACCTCTTGCTACTCCAAACCCATCTCCCCTCTCCTCTGCCCTCCCCTTAACCTCCACTAGCTTTCCCTTCTTACTACCATCATTACCAGCAAAGCCATCACCAACAGCAGCAGCAGCAGCACCACCACCACCCCTACCACCACCATCAAAAGCAGACTCGCCAGGTGACTCTTTGATTCTCTTTTGCTTCCCGTCACCATCGCCTCGCTCCCGACCAACTTCACTCTCCCTCCTCACATTCTCCTGCATACTCTTCTTTTCCTCCTCTTCCAAACCTCCCTCTCGTGACCCCACCCTTCCCAGCACAATCCCCCCAAACCTCCCACGCTTTTCCCCCCGCTTTTCTCCTCTCCCTTCCCCCTTCCCTTCCGCTCTCCTTTCCCCTGCCTTCCCTTCTCTCATCCCCCCTTCCCATTCTCTTCCCCCATCCCTGTCTCTCTTAGCCTCACCCGAACCCTTAGCACGCTTCTCGTCCCTTCCTCTTCTCAATCCCCACTCTTCCTCCAATTCAACACTCCCATCCACCCTCCCCCCCTTTTCCACCCTCCCCTCCCTCACCACCCCACCTTCCCTCCCCACCTCCCTTTTAGTCTCCTCGTCCCGTTCCTTCTTCCCCTCCAGTCCTCTCTGCCACTCCCCATGCCCCCCGCCTTCGCTTCTCCGCCTGTCCATCACAACTCCAGATCGTTTCTCCTCTCCCAAACCCCCCCTTTCCGTTCCCCATGCTGCATCAGGACGAACAGGAGAGGCCGCAGAGGTGGGACGAGAGGCAGAGGCGGCATGGTGAGGGTTAGGAACACGGTGAGAGACCTTTGCAGCAGCAACGGCATTGCCACCAGTGTCGTAAGCACCACTGGCAGCACCAGCAACAATACCTGTCACAGCAGCAAGCACAGCAGTCGAATCACAAGATTTCTTCACCTCGCCCACACTCTCTGCATTCCTATGCATTCTACTCCCTTCATTACTGCTGCTGTTTAGATTGCTGCCTCCCTTTTCTCCCTCGCCTCCACTCCCTACCCGTCTCCTTCCCTCTCCCCCTCCCTTTCCACTTCCTTCTCCCCCTCTCTTTCCACTTCCCTCCCCTCTTCCCGCTCCTCCTTCCTCTCCTCCCACTCTTCCTCGCTCTCCTCGCTCTCCTCCCTCTCCTCCCTCTCCTCCATCTGTTCCTCGCTCTCCTCCTTCACCTCCTCCCCCTCTTCCTCCGTCTCCTCCCTCACCTCCTCCCTCTCCTCCGCCCTCACTTATTCCCTCTCCTCTTCCCTCACTTCTCCTTCCCTCACCCATACACTCGCCACCATTAGCAGCAGCGGCACCACCAACAGTTTCCTCCTCTCCCGTCCCGGCACCGCCCAACCCCTCAACCACTCTCAACTCCTTCACACCGTCCTTCACACCGTCCCTAGCGTCCTCCATAAGTGCAGCAGAGGGCAAAGCGACACTAAGGGTGGTGCTGTTGGGTAAATGCAGCCGGGCCTCACTAGTGCTAGCACCACTGGGTCCTTGTGTTTCCGCTGCACCACAACCACCAGCACCAGCACAGCCGGCACCATCGAATGCAGCAGCAGGAGGTGCAGCAGCAGAGGAATCAGCATCGGCAGCAGCAGCAGCAACAACAACGTTGGTGCCACAATCAGCAGCAGCAGCAGCAGCAGCAGCAGCAGCAGCAGCACGTGGTGCAAGGCTGCTTCTGTCAGCCGACTCGTGTGTCCCCACCACTGCTACAGGCTCATCCAGCATTGGCAATTTTTGCTCCTGCTCCTTCACATCCTGCTGCTGCTGTTCTTGCTGATGCTGCTGCTGCTGCTGCTGCTGCGCATGCTCCTGCTCTTGTGGTGCGAGTCGCTCTTGCTGCGGCTGGGCAAGGCCTTCGTGCCTCTCATGCCTCCCCTGTCCGGTATCCTCCCCAGACTCATGTGCTTTGTGGGTCGCCGCCTGTCCTGTATCCCTCACAGACATGCACACACCAGCCGTACCTCGCCCGCTCCCTTTTCCGTTCCCCCACTCCCCCACCTCGTCTCCTGCCTCGGAATTCTCCCCCCCGGCTTTCTGCTTTTGAGCTTCACTCTCACTTCTCTCACCTCGTCCTTCCTTTCCACTTGACTCCTCGTTTCCACTCATCTTCTCTCTTCCACTCACCCTCTCGTTTCCACTCAACCTCGCCTTGCCTCCATTTATCCCACTCGTGCCGTTCTTGTCACCTGAAGCTGCAGAAGCAGAAGGATCAGGGGCAGCAGCAGCGGCTGAGCTAAACGAACTAGTCTTATCTACATGCTGATGCTGCTGTTGCTCTGCTTTCTCCTCCTTCTCCCCCTCCTGCTGCTGCTCCTGCTGCTGTCCCTCCTCTTCCTCCTCCTTCTCCCCCTCCTGCTGCTGCTGTTGTTCTTCTTGTTCATGTCGCTGCTGCTGTCGCACATGCGAATACAGCATCCTGCTTTCTCTCTCCTCCATGCTCCCATGCCATACCCCATACATCCTCCCTTCATCTACATCATCCCCTTCCCCCACTGCCCTGCCTTCAACCATAGCCCTCCCCTCTCCCATCCCCCCCTTCTTCCCCCCTCCCTCTTCCCTACACCCAAGTGCTCCATCCACTCTCTCCACTCCTCCCTCCGTCACCCCCTCTCCCTCTTCGTCTCCACCCACTCCCCCACCCTTTCCATTACCTACCAATGCTCCCTCTGCCCTACTTTTCGACGCATGCCCTCCCCCATCCCTTGCCCAACCCCCCTCTTCATCCCTCCCTCCAGTCGCCACTGCTGCAGACCACCGCTCCCATCTCTCCTCCCGTTCTCCCTCCTGCCCTCCCTCCTGCCCACCCTCCCGTCCTTCCTCCGGTCCCCCCACTGCCATTGATCCGTCTGCACCAACAGTCTGTTGCTGCGCACCAATCACATCGCCCTGTCTTCCCCCCTGCCCCGCTCTCCACTCCCTCCTCACGCCCCTCACAACCACTCTCCACCGCGGAATGTCAATAATCTCATGGTACCTCAACCTCCCCTCCACCCCTCCCCCAAACCCAACCCCCCCCATCCGCCCCTCTCCCAATCCCCCAACCCCTTCCCCTCCCATCCCTCTCTCCTTCCGCTCCTCCCCTTCCCCACTCCCTTCCCCTCCCACCTCCTCCTCACCCTCACCCTCCTCCTCCTCCTCCTCCTCTCCCTCCTCCACGTCCTCCTCCCCATCCCCATCCCCATCCCCATCCCCATCCCCATCTGCCCCTCCTTCACCCCCTCTTCGTCTCCTCTGCCTCCTCCCAGCAGGCGGCAGCAGCAGCGGCAGCACCAGATCATCTAAATCAAAGTCTAGCAACCCTTCTAGAGCAAAAGCATCCCCAAGCCCGCCCAGCCCCAGCTCCAGTTCCCCATGGACCTCTAGCTCTACCCCCAGCTCCTGCCCGTCCATATACCCACTCTCATGCGCTGCTGCTTCCTCTGCTGCTGCTGCCGCTGCCGCAGCCGCGGCGGCTGCAGCGGCGGCCGCGGCCGCGGCGGCGGCGGCGGCAGCAGAGGAGGAAGGGGCGTCTGATTCTGCTGCAGCTCGTAATGCTGAGTCCCCACTGCCTCCCTTCTCGCCTGCTGCTCCTGTTGCTCCTGCTCCTGCTGCTGCTCTTGCTCCCGGTGTTGCTTCTGCACCTGGTAACGCTCGTACATGACTGCTTACCCCACCCCCACCAGCAGCAACGGCGGCAGCAGCTGCGGCTGGTGCTACCGGGTGTTTGTTAACGGCAGCAGCAGCAGCAGGAGCAGCAGGAGCAGCTGCACTTATTGGCCTCCCAGCACCACCACCACCAGCAGCACCAGCTGCTGCTGCTGCTGCGGCAGAGGCTGCTGCTGCAGCCGCAGTGGCATGCGTTCGGCCCTTCCCCTGAGGGTCTCGCTTTGCAGAAAACGCGTCGCCACCATCTGCTTCCTCCTGCTCCTCCCGCCCTGCCCCATCCCTGCCCAGGCGAAAAGACCCGTCTGATTGGATCGGAGCAGAACGGGCAGATGAAACGGTTTTTGAGGAGGAAACGGCAGGGATGGGAGGAGGTGGGAGGGGGATTGGAGTAGCAGCAGCACTGCCACCCACAGCACGAGTGGCGGCAGCTGCTGCTGCTGCTGGTGCTGCAGCTGCTGCGGTGGTGGGTCTGGGAGCTGATACAGGTGCTGATGCGGTATGACGTGCAGCTGCCCCTGGCCCCCGCACCCCTGCTACCCCTGCTGCTGCTGCTGCTGCTGCCGCTGCTGCTTGGTGCGGTGTGGCGGTAGCAACAGCACCACCACCACCACCACCAGCAGCACGAGCGGCAGCAGTGAGTGGCAGGTTGGAGGGGGCGGTGGGAGCCGACGAGGCAGATCGCAGGAGCTGGGCAGAAAGTGCACGCACCCGCACCTGCACGCACGCAGTGATGGGTGGACCATACAGGGGGGAAGGCAGGCGTGGGGGGGGACACGGGTCGTAGTGAGTGATTAGTGTTGAGGGGACGGGTTGAGAGAGGGGAGGAGTGGGGAGAGGCGAGGAACGGGGAGTAGAGAGCAGGGAGCAGAGCAGCAGCACAAGCGGGCGAATGAGTGAGTGAGTGAGCGGCGAATGAGTGAGTGAGCGAGTGAGCGAGTGAGTGAGTGAGTGAGTGAGTGAGTGAGTGAGTGAGTGAGTGAGTGAGTGAGTGAAGTACCTGCAGCTCTTCCAAGCGCCACAGCAAGTGCTCGGCTGCCTCCCCTTCCTCCTCCCCAACCATCCCCACCATCCCACCCCGCACATCCACTCCCCCCCCTCCCCTCCCCGTTCCCGCTCCTCCCCCGGCCCTCCCCCCCCCTCCCCCCAAGTGCATGCCTGCTCCGCCTTCCCCCTGTGCGCCCCGCCCCCCCTGCCATTCCCCCCCCATGCGCCCATGCCCATGGTCCATGGCATGTGATGGTGATGGGGATGGGTGCAAGGGGCGGGAGAGAGACAAGTCTCGCGCCTCTGTGTGGGTGTATGAGTGGGTGTGGGTGTGGCTGGGCGATGGCACGAGGGGATAGCCTTGCTCTGCAAGGAAAGAGTTGGAAGAGCAGGGTGGGCAGGAAGGTGAACGGGTGGGGAAGGAGGGGAAGAGGGTACAGGAAAGAAGGGAGGGAGTGGGTTTGGAATTGGAATTTGTGGTAACAAGATTTGAGCTGACTAGAATTGTGGCTAAGAGTTTGTGTTACAGGGTGCATCTGGGAGGCATGTGGGAGGCATGATGCTGGGGGAGTGAGTAAGTAGTGACAACAAGCACAAGACATGAGGAGTGGCATGTGTGAGGGCAGTTGCATGGGTGAGGGGGGAGCGGCATGTGTGAACGTGACTCACGGGGGGAGGTGTGGAAGGGCGAGTGGGAAGGCACGAGGGGGAAGGAGTGTGCGGGGGCGCCGTGTGTGCTCAACAGCCCAGGGTAACGCTCCTCCCCTCGCACCCGCTTCTCTGCACATGCACACGGACATAACATGCACATGCACATAACATGCACATGCACACGCACATAACATGCACATGCCGTGTATATGGATGCACATGCACATGAGGGGAAAAGAGGCCATGGGGGGGAAGATGAGACGAGATGAGGCAGGGGGGGAGACACGTCAGAAGGGGGGGACGAGGCAGGGAACAAAAATGCGGAAGGGAGTGAGGATGAGGCATGGAGAGACGACGCGGTGCAAGCAAGCTACCTTTGAAATCAAGAGCAAGA